TAAAAAACGAAAAATAATAGTTTATGACTAATAATGTTAATTTCCGTTTTTAAATTTTAGAATTTCTTCGAAAAAATTTTACTACTAAAAAATTCAGAAAAAAAATAAAAATATTTTAAAAATTTTGAAAAAAAAATTTTCCGAATAAATTTTAAAATTAAAAAACGAAAAATAATAGTTTATGACTAATAATGTTAATTTCCGTCTTTAAATTTTAGAATTTCTTCGAAAAAATTTTACTACTAAAAAATTCAGAAAAAAATAAAAATATTTTTAAAAATTTTGAAAAAAAAATTTTCCGAATAAATTTTAAAATTAAAAAACGAAAAATAATAGTTTATGACTAATAATGTTAATTTCCGTTTTTAAATTTTAGAATTTCTTCGAAAAAATTTTACTACTAAAAAATTCAGAAAAAAATAAAAATATTTTTAAAAATTTTGAAAAAAAATTTTCCGAATAAATTTTAAAATTAAAAAACGAAAAATAATAGTTTATGACTAATAATGTTAATTTCCGTTTTTAAATTTTAGAATTTCTTCGAAAAAATTTTACTAATAAAAAATTCAGAAAAAAATAAAAATATTTTTAAAAATTTTGAAAAAAAAATTTTCCGAATAAATTTTAAAATTAAAAAACGAAAAATAATAGTTTATGACTAATAATGTTAATTTCCGTTTTTAAATTTTAGAATTTCTTCGAAAAAATTTTACTACAAAAAATTCAGATAAATTTTAAAATTATGATTATTACCATTTTTAATTTTAAATTTTATTCAGAAAAATTAAAAATATTTTAAAAATTTAGAACAAAAATTTTTCCGAATAAGTTTTAAAATTTAAAAACGAAAAATAATTATTTATCGCTAGTAATAATTATTTCCATTTTCTAATTTTAATATTTATTCGAAAAAATTTTTTTCCAAAAATATAAAAAAATTTTCAGAAAAATTAAAAATATTTTAAAAATTTAGTACAAAAATTTTTCCGAATAAATTTTAAAATTTAAAAACGAAAAATAATTATTTATCGCTAGTAATAATTATTACCATTTTTTAATTTTAAATTTTATTCGAAAAAATTTTTTTCCAAAAATATAAAAAAATTTTCCAAAAATTATGAAGAAATTTATGAAGAACTTTCCAAAATTTATGAAGAACCACAAAATATGTATACTTAATTTTTTTCCTCCACAAATTCATTAAATAAAATAAAAATTTAATCTTTTGTTAATATTTGATGGAAAGTAATATTTAATTTAAAAAATAATTTATTTCATTTTTGCCTTTGATATTTACCTAAATCGATAAAATTAGGTAATCTACTAATATCAAACATTATTTTTGACATGAATAATCTTTTATAGTCTTACAAAAAATTAAAACATTGTTGTTGAGAAATCAAAAAATTCAAAGAAGTTGTGAAATGTTATAATTTCTTAACACACCAAACTTCCTCTCTCTAATCATTTTTGTTTCATCTTAATATTAACTTCTATAGAAATTATTTATACACCTTAGAATTTTTATTTGTTCAATACTACACATTTGATAAATACTCTATGAAAGTTAATTTAGTAAAAAGTAGCGCAAAAATTAAATATTTTTACTTTAAACTTGACAAAAATTATGGTTAACTGCGAAATGTTTTTTATATATTTTTTTCCTTCAATTTCCTTTCCTTCCATCAATAAATATCTAACTGGGCTTTGTCAAAGATCACGTAAAGATACATTTTAAATTTTGTCAGAAAAAATGTTTTATTCTTTACCAACGGAAACAAAACTTGATATTTTCAAATATCTCAGCTATAAAGAATTATTTTCAATCAAACAAACAAATTTATATTTTCGTGATTTTATTGACAAATATGAAGGAGAACTTGCTCGAGAGAAAGTTTTTACAATTCATTTTGTAATAAAGCTTCTTAATTAATTAAATTTTTAAATATTTTTTAAAAGGATCACACTATCAATCAATTCAAAAAAGATCTTCACAGATTAAATAAACACAAATCCAAAAATTTTGACTTTCCATTGAATGAACAACTTGAAGAGAAAGTAAATAAATTAAAATATGCAAAGGGTTTCTGTCCTTTTTTGTGGAAAAATGGACTAGAAAAACCGATTCCTTTTTATTTACCTTATCAGAATTCGAAGAATATTGTTAGTCGTTTATCTAAAAGAGGTGAAATTTTATTTAATAAACTTTCAAGAGCGTTTCAGTCTGAAACAAGAAAAATTTTGGAACTTAACCCATTTATTTTCAAAGTAACTCTATTGAAGGTCCGAGACGCTCAACGGTTCCTTAAGCAGTAACATAGCAGGGGTGTGCCGAAACAGATTTAAAAAAACGAAAGGCCAAAGTTCAAAAAACGCGAAAATCCGCGAAAGGCGAAACTGGCACCCCCATGTAATATGGGACTACCTACATACTTATTGTTGCTTGTGAATAAATAGTATGTACCTGGGATGTGCCGAAAGTGATTTTAAAAAGCGAAAGACGAAACGCGCACACCCCTGGTATGTATCCTGGATCTTTTTCGTATAGAAACCTCTGAAACTTTTTCGGGTCGGGGAATTTCTGCACGGATTTTCCTGCAAAATTTTTGGAATTTAGGAAGCAAAAAATTTTATTAAAAAGTTAATGGTAATATTCATAAAATACTAAAAAAGTAAATTTATCAAAAATTTTTATCAAAATTTCACATATTTCCCAGTAGCGACATAGCGTTCGTGCTGTGTCGCCAAAATCGCGACATTTCGATTGCTAGTGTCGATTGACACTAGATTTTAAAATCTTTGTGAAACACAATCGCGACATTTCGCTGTCAATGTCGCTAAAAGTAGATGTCAATGTCGATGTCACAAAATAATTTTAATGTCGCTTTGTGGAACACAATCGCAATCGGAATGTCAAGCGATTGACAAATGTCGCGACATTTGATGTCAATGTCGCTTTGTGGAATAGGCCCCTGGTATATATATAAACAGAATTCCACCTAAAGTTTTCAAAACAAGCGAAAACATTTTTGCATTGTTTGCATTAGACAAAATTGCATTAGAGATCCAACAAATCAAATAAAATTTCCGCTTCCGTTTCTTACATTCAATTCTTTTCCATTATTTCGACTGTATTACAAAAATTCCCTCCTTCTTTATTTTTTTTAGTGCAAAATTCAAATCTCACTTTTGGATTGTAAATATTGGCAATTTGGTACTTTGTATGTTTTTCCGTCTCTACTTGCTTAATTTCAACATTTTCTGCTCTTTCATTCAATTTAAAATCAGGAAAATACGAAGACAAAAGAACAATTTTAGGCACGATATTTGAACAGTCTTTCGATGTTATTATATACTAGAATTTAAATTTATTTATAAGTTCGTATTTGTAAACAACTTACTTCTAAAATAAGATCATGAAGCCTTGCTATCTCGAAACCCTCAACAATAATTTCTGGCATTTTATTGCCTTTATTTATTATAATATTGAATAAAATATTTATATGGTGATCTGTAATGTCAAAAACATATTTTAAATTGATGTACAAATATTCAGAATTTGATAGATAATTTAAATAAAATTCCAAAATATTCTCAATTGATATTTTGCCAGCATGTAGAGATACATTTTTAATATTAAATTGAGCTCGTATTGATTTGTCATTATCAAACAATATATTGATCATTTCTGGATTAAATACACTGCTATAGAAATCAGCACAATCAAAATCACATTTAAATAGTCGTTCTAACCAGCAACGAATAATAATCATTTGTTTAAGGTTCTTTGGGTAGTGTGGCAATTTCAAAATATAATAAGGGGAATCTTCGTCACCTAAATGGAAATAAATATAAAAAATTATTTGGGCCAATAATTGTGTATAAATTGACTAAGATTAATTATTGCATTATAATTATATATATATTTTTTATAACCTGTCTTCCTCATACAAACAAATAATTTTTTGCCAGAATGTGAAAACAATCGAGTTGAGTTGTCTATCGCTACTTGCCACTGAAAAAATAATTTTATAATTTAAAAATTAATTTAACCTTCTCCTTAAGTTGATCATCTAAGGTAAATTCAAAATTCGTGGAACGGAGTTCAATGCTAGCTCTCTTTTTCTCTGAATATGCTAACTCTTTTTTGTTACACTAAAATAAATTAAAAATAAATATAATTAATTTAATATTTACTATTGAGAGGCCATCAAATTTCCTTCGTGCCAATTCTCCCTCATATTTATTAATTAAATTGCAAAAGTAAGAATTAGTTTGTTTAATAGAGATTAATTCGTTGAAATTAAGATATTTTAATATACGAAGTTGAACTTCTAGTGGTAGAGAAATCATTTTGATTGTCTAAAAAAGATAAGTACATATTTAGTAAAATTCAAGTTGTACTTTCAAAATTTATTAAGAACCACAATATTTTTTAAATTTATTTAGCCACTTCTTCCCTCCATTTTTTCAATCACAGAACATACTCTATTAGGATGGGATACAATAAATTAAGGTAAAAAATCTGTGCCTTTTAAGAAAGTGGAGGGAACGAAATTCAAAATTACTAGATTACTTTTAAATGTATTTAAAAATAAATTTACTAAATTACCTCACAAAAAATTTATTAAAAAACAAAAAAATTCAATCGAAAAAGTAAAAAATAATATTTTTAAAAATTGTAAAAAAATATATAAAATATTTTTTGTGGTTTGAACAATAATTTTTTGTTTAATTAGATAATTTAAAATAAAAATATTTAATTTTTGCGCTCTTTATTTACTAAATTAGCCATAAAGAGTTGGGGGAAACAATTTCTTTCTTTTATTAATTTTATCCAATTCAGCCAAAAATAGGCCAATCTGTCTTATAGAATTCGTCGAACAATATTAAAGAAATAAAAATTTTATAAATAATTTTACAAAAAAAGCTATGTAACAAAATGATTTAGAAATTTCTCCGGCAAATCAAATAAAATTCACGGTTTCATCTTCTTAGATTCAATTCTTTTTCATTATTTCAACTTTATTCCAAAAAATCCATCCGCGTCTATCTTCTTTTTTGCAAATCTCAAATCTCACTCTTGGATTGTAAATATTGGAAATTTGGTATTTTGTACATATTTTATATGTATAAGTTGAAGCATCAATTTCAACATTTTCTGCTCTTTCACTTAATTTAAAGTTAGGAAAATCAGAACGCAAAAAAACAATTTTAGGCACCATATTTGAACAGTCTTTAGATGTTATTATATACTAGAATTTATTATCTAACTTCGTATTTGTAAACGACTTACTTCTATAATAAGATCATGAAGCTTTGATAGTTCGTAACCGTGAACAGAAATTTTTAGTATTTTATTGCCTTTATTTATTATAATATTGAATAAAATATTTATATAGTGATCTGTAATGTCGACACATTTAAAATTGATGTACAGATATTCAGAATTTGATAAATGATTTAAATAAAATTTAAAAATATTCTCAATTGTTTTTTTGCAAGCTATCAATTTAATGTCTTTTATGTTAAATTGAAGAGGAATTGTTTTGTCATTATCAAATAATATATTAATCATTTCTGGATTAAATACAATGTTATAAAAACAAGCACGATCAAAAACACATTTAAATAGTTGTTGTAACCAGCAACGAATAGTAATCATTTCTTTAAGGTTCTTCGGAAGGTTTGGCAATTTCAAAATATAATCACTTGGATCTTCAGAGTAGTCTAATTGGAAATAAATAATGAGAAATTTTTGGTCAATTGAGATAGAAATTACTCTAATAAATTATGGTCTAATTTGTGCATAAATTGACCAGAGTGGCCCTTTTGCCTCTTTTTAGGGGGTTTTCCTTTTTTGACCTCCGCCCTTTTTAAACATTGAAACTTTTTTGCTCCTTTTTTACTTTTCACAATATTTTCGCATGCGGCGCAAGGAAAGGAGGAAATCTGGCATCGGCGCTAAAATGGAAGAAATCTGGCTTAAGTTCCAAAATTCTCAAAATTTCGCCTGCCCATTTTTATCGAATCTGGCCATTCAGATCTTTTTTGGGAATTCTTCGATGCCCAATTTGATCCTTCGAACCGGTTTGGCAACCCTGATCTCTGTTATAACTAGAGTTGGCCGGTATCGGGATTTAGAGAAAAACCCGGGATCGGGATTTAGGAATGGTGATCCCGATCCCGGATCCCGACACGGGATCGGGATTGGCCGAAATCGGGATCGGGATTTGGACTGGAGATCCCGATCCCGGATCGGGACCGGGATTGAAAACTCGGGATCGGGATTTACTAAAAAAATTTTTAAAAACTTTTAAATTTTTATTTTCTTCACAAACGACTCAATATAATTCTAAAATTTCCACTGCGGTGCTGAAATATTGAGTTAAAGTCTCATAGACGCATGATTACTTTCCGGTTCAGGGTATTAAGGGGGGATAAGGTAATGGGGGTGGGGGGATAAATTGGATTGGGCTTTTGATTTTTAAAAAATTTGCACCTTTTGAAAGGTTTGGCACCTTGGCCTTCCAAATTTTGAAGGCCAAGGTGCCAGATTTCCTCCCTTTTAAGCGTCGCAGGCAATAATTTTTAATCTTGGAAGGCCAAGGGCATTTAAGTCTAGCGTTCAAGTCTATATGATTAAATGCGTTACGTTCAAATGTGGACGATTAAGAACTGAAATTGAGTGATTAAGCGATATATTCATGTCCCTCGTAAACCCTCGATTCTCTTCAAATCTAACTTAATCAATAAATCCACCGATATCCTTCTATGCTCCAAATCCACCTATACTCCCCTCAACCCCTCTTGATCGCTCGATATCACACCAAATCACGCAATATCTCGTCAAAGTTTTAAAGACAGCTTTGTTTAAATTCGCTCCTTTTCTGCGCCGCAGGCGAAAATTTTTCTTTATTTCATGCCTCCCCCCTTCTGTTAGCTTTAATTCACAGACTTCTAGTCAATTTATAAAGCCGGGATTTGTATCGGGATCTGATGCACATCCCGATCCCGGATCCCGGCTCGGGATTCAGATGGGCCGGGATCGGGATATTTATTTCGGGACCGGGATCAGAAAAATCGGGATCGGGATTTGAAAAACCCGGGATAATCCCGCCCGATCCCGACCGGGATCCCGATCCCGGCCAACTCTAGTTATAACCAGATTTAAAGAGAAGGTTGAAGCAGTGCCCTGGTTGATCTCTCACACTTCTCTTTTAATTTTAGGCCGGATTGCTCAATTTAGTTAAGACTAGTCAAAAATATGCGAACAAGGCATTTTATTTGAAATTTTAATTATTTTTAAGTTTTTAAAATAACGCCCCTTTTTGCCCATCTTCTGGGAGGCCTTGCCCCTTTTTGGCGATTTGTAAAGGACCACTCTAAAATTGACTAAAATTAATTATTACATTATAATTTTATATATAGGTACATATTTTTATAACCTGTCTTAATCATACAAATAAATATTTTTTTGCTTGAATGTAAAAACAATCGAGTTGATTTAGCTATCGCTGCTTGCCACTGAAAAATATATGGGTAATTTATCTAAAAATTAATTTAACCTTATTCTTAAGTTGATCATCTAAAGTAAATTCAAAAACTCCAGATTGAGGTTCAACGGATTTATATTCAAAATCTATCTTTTGATTTCCATCAATCTAAAAAATTGGAAAAAAGTTCTTTAACAAATATTTACTATTGAGAGTTCATAAAATTTCCTTCGTGCCAATTCCCCCTCATATTTACTAATTAAATTGTAAAAGTAAGAATTGGTTTGTTTAACAGATACTAATTCGTTGAAATTAAGATATTTTAATATATGAAGTTGAACTTCTAGTGGTAAAGAAATCATTTCGATTATCTAAAAGGTTATACTTGTCTAGAAAAATTCAAGTTGTACTTTAAAAATTTATTAAGAACCACAATATTTTTTAAATTTATTTAGTCACTTCTTCCCTTCGTTTTTTCAATCACCGATCTTACTCTATTAGAACGGGATAAAATAAATTAAGGAAAAAATCTGTGCTTTTGAGAAAATGGAGGGAGGGAACGAAATTCAAAATTAACAGATTACTTTTAAATTTGTTTAAAAGTAAATTTACTTAAATTTACTCACAATAAATTATTAAAAACAAAAATAATTTAATCGAAAAAGTAAAAAACAATATTTTTAAAAATTAAAAAAAATATAAATAAAAATATTTTTTGTAGTTTGAACAATAATTTTTTGTTTAAAAATATAATTTAAAATAAAAATATTTAATTTTCGCGCTCTTTATTTACTAAATTGGCCATAAAGAGTTGGGGGAAACAATTTTTCTTTTATTAATTTTATCAAATTCAACCAAAAATAGACCGATCTGTCATATAGTATTTGTCGAACAATATTATGCTACGCTTACATAAAAATCGCGCGCGACACGCGACAGTCGCTAGGCGACATGTCGCCGGCGACAATCGCTAGTTGTGTGCTTACATAAAATCGGCGATTTCCGCAAAAGCGACTGTCGCAAAGCGACAAAACGTTATTTTTATGTAAGCACAAAGCAGCGACGTCGCTAGGCGACATGTCGCCTAGCGACGTCGCAAATCGCGCGCGATTTTTATGTAAGCACAAAATTATTAGATTTTTCTATCTTTTTCTTCTATATTTTCTTTATTTATTTATCTCTATTTTTCACGTTGGTGAAGGTCAGAGTACTGTAATGTATAGGACAGTTCGTTGCCACTATTTTATTGTGGCTTTTATATTGTGGGTTTTTTTTAATTTTTCCATTGATATTAGAGTTAGGAACGGGTCCGGACCTGTTTCCGGGTCCCTTTTCCCGTTTTTTTGAACGGGTTTTCACGGTTTCCCGGACCCGGTCACCGGGAAACCGTACTTTGATATTAAATTTTTGAAGGAAAAGGAATATTTATAATTTCCTATATTTTCTTTAATTGGTCGATGGTTGAGTGGTTATGTTGACTTAAATTGGATCCGGTTCCGGTCAAAATTTCGGTTCCGGTGAAACACTAATATGGACCCTCTTAATCCCTTAAATGCCTTGATTTTCCCCAAAATTTTTTGTCCATAACTTTATGGGACGAGCCCTGCTCATCAAGAAATGGTCACTTTTTCATGTTTTTGGTATCATTTGATAGAGAATCAAAAGCTTTACAACATATAAAAAATTCAGAATTTTTGACCGATTGATAAAAAGTTATGATAAAAAATACTCGATAGCATACTGAAAATCTCAAAAATATCGAAAAAAGGAATATTTTTTGCAAAAAGTATACCTTTTTCAAAATCAATTTTAACCCATAAGATTTAACTTTAAAAATATAAAATTTATATTGATCGATAGAGAATGAACTGAACTTTCAGAATCTTTTTAAATTTTGAAAATCGGATCAGAATTGATCGAGAAATAGCATGTCGCAAAAAAGTGTCGCCAAAAATTCAAACATGTTTGAATCAAAAAAAGTGTCGCCGGCGACATGTCGCCGGCGTAAATCGCATTTTATGTAAGCACACGAAAAAGCGACAAAATCGCGCGCGACATGTCGCCGGCGGAAGACGCGGTTTATGTAAGCACTCAAAAAAGCGACAAAGTCGCGCGCGACAAGTCGCCAGCGAAAGTCGCTTTTTATGTAAGCACGCAAAAAAAGCGACAAAATCGCCGGCGACTTTTCTCTCCTCTTTTTCCATTATCTTTTCTGTCGCGTGTCGCGCGCGATTTTTATGTAAGCGTAGCATTAAAGAAATAAAAGTTGTATAAATAATTCTACCAAAGAAGTTAACAAAATTATTTAGAAATTTCGGAGAGGGATGACTCATATAATGTTAAAAATTGCTCCATAATTCTATAGATATTGTGTATATACAAAATGAATTCCACCTAAAGTTTCCAGAACAAGCGGAAACTGTTATTGTTTGCATTAGAAATCAAACAAATCAAATAAAATTTTCGCTTTTGTTTCTTACATTCAATAATTTTTCATTATTGCGACTATATTACAAAAACTCCATCCATCACGATCTTCTTCAGTGCAAAATTCAAATCTCACTTTTGTATTGTAAATATTGGCAATTTGGTAATTTGTATGTTTTTTCGTCTCTTCATGCTTAATTTCAACATTTTCTGCTCTTTCATTTAATTTAAAATCAGGAGAATCAGTACACAAAAGAATAATTTTAGGCACTATATTTGAACAGTCTTTCGATGTTATTATATACTAGAATTTAAATTTATTTATAACTTCGTATTTGTAAACGATTTACTTCTATAATAAGATCATGAAGCTTTGCTATCTTGTCACATTCAACAGTAATTTCTAGTACTTTATTGCCCTTATTTATTATAATATTGAATAAAATATTTATATGGTGATCTGTAGTGTCAACAACGCCAAAATTTATGTACCTATCTGGTAGATAGTATATATCCAAAATTTGATATTCATAATTTGATAGATGATTCAAATAAAATTTCAAAATATTCTCAATTCTATTTTTGCGGGCACGTAGAGATACATTTTTAATATTAAATTGAAGAGAAATTATTTTGTCATTATCAAATAATATATTGACCATTTCTGGATTAAATACAGTGTTATAAAAATTAGCACAACCAAAATCACATTTAAATAGTCGTTCTAACCAGTAACGAACAATAATCATTTCTTTAAGGTTCTTTGGGGAGTTTGGCAATTTCAAAATATAATAACTTGGATCTTCAGAGTAGTCTAATTGGAAATAAATAATGAGAAATTTTTGGTCAATTGAGATAGAAATTACTCTAATAAATTATGGTCTAATTTGTGTATAGTAATTATTTAAAATTAATTATTACATTATAATTTTCTATATATATTTTTATAACCTGTCTTAGTCATACAAACAAATAATTTTTTGCCAGAATGTGAAAACAATCGAGTTGATTTAGCTATAGCTGCTTGCCACTGAAAATAAATAGATGGATTTAAAAATTAATTTAACCTTCTCCTTAAGTTGGTCAGTTAAATTAAATTCAAAATTTGTAGAACGAAGATCAATTATTTTATTTGAACTCTTTATTGCTTTTTTGCTTTTCTAAAATTAAATTATAATTATAATAATTTAATAACTGTTTACTATTGAGAGTTCATAAAATTTCCTTCGTGCAAATTCCCCCTCATACCTGATAATTAAATTGCAAAAGTAAGAATTGGTTTGTTTAACATAGATTAATTCGTTGAAATCGAGATATTTTAATATACGAAGTTGAACTTCGAGTGGTAGAGAAATCATTCTGATTATCTAAAAAAGACGTATATATTTAGAAAAATTCAAGTTGTATTTTCAAAATTATTAATAACCACAATATTTTTACATACAGGGTGCGGCAAAAGTTTCCGTACTTTTATTAAGCATAAAATTTATTTCAAATATTTTATTAAATTTTATAACATTTATGAAAAAGTGTTCATTAATATCTATCAGAGCTGTTTCGAAATTTCGATTTTCGTTTTTCGATTTTCGAGGTTTTTTTCCTTTCGATTTTCGATTTCCGATTTTCGAAATTTTGAGATATTTTCGATTTCCGATTTTCGAATTTTTGAAAAAATTTGAATTTTTGGCGCCAAAAAGTAGGAATTCTGACTTATCGGCCATCATAAATTTAAAAAATTTTCGCTTGCGGCGCAGAAAAGGGAATCTTTTTGGCTTAAGGATCCTCCAAAATTTTCAAAATTTTCGCCTGCGGCGCAGAAAAAGGAATCTTTTTGGCTTAAGGATCCTCCAAAATTTTCAAAATTTTCGCCTGCGGCGCAGAAAAAGGAATCTTTTTGGCTTAAGGATCCTCCAAAATTTTCAAAATTTTCGCCTGCGGCGCTGAAAAAGGAAGAATTCTGGTGACTTGGTCTTCCAAAATTCTCAAAATTTTCGACTCAGGCGGTAAAAAAGGAATCCCTGAAACAATATTATGTTCCGGCTCCGGTATATTGTAGGATTTGCTCGAATTAATGTGGAGTTGGAAGCCCACCCCCATGCCGGAACCTTATGCCTGTATCGCCCAACCTTTTAAGTAAAGCGGCCTAGCTCTTTCACAATATCAGGGATTTTACTTAAATACTCCATTATCCCTCTTAATACTCACAGATCTCATGATGAAATATTAATCTTTAACTTTCCACCCGGAGTCTGGGGACACCATGAAGCGGCTCAGTAAATCACTGGCTCCGGAGCCAAGAAATAATTGGTCGGAGTCGGTGCCATAGATTCGGATAACAAAATTTTGGGTTTGGTTATCCATGATTTCCCTGGATCTCCTATTCTAGTCATTAGTTTTCCCCAATTCCTTAGAGTTAAAGTAACTTTGGAGAGGAAAAGGAAATAAAAGGAAAGAAAATGTGGTAACATAACCGATAAGTACCAAAAATTTATTTTTCATTTTTTTATTAAAAAATTTTTTTTCGATTTTCGTTTTTCGATTTTCGATTTTCGAGGTTATTTTTCTTTCGATTTCCGATTTTCGATTTCGAAGATTTTAAAAAATATTTTCGATTTTCGATTTCGATATTTTTGGATTTATTTCGATTTTCGATTTCCGATTTTCGAAGATTTTTTTGTTTCGAAACACCTCTGATATCTATAGAAAAGAAAAATTATGACAAATGTCAAAAATGGAAATAGTACGTATTTAGAAAAATTCAAGTTGTATTTCAAGATTTATAAGAATACAATATTCTCAAATTATTTAGACACTTGTGAGAGGCTTTTCTTTTTCCCTCCATTTTTTCAATCACCAAACTTTTAAAATGGGATTAAATATAAATTACGGTAAAAAATCTGTGCTTTTGAGAAAATGGAGGGAACGAAATTCAAAATTAACAGATTACTTTTAAATTTGTTTAAAAGTAAATTTACTTAAATTTACTCACAAAAAATTATTAAAAACAAAAAAATTCAGTCGAAAAAGTAAAAAATAATATTTTTAAAAATTAAAAAAAATATATATAAAAATATTTTTTGTAGTTTGAACAATAATTTTTTGATTAGAAATATAATTTAAAATAAAAATATTTAATTCTTGCGCTCTTTATTTACTAAATTGGCCATAAAGAGTTGGTGGAAACAATTTATTTCTTTTATTAATTTTATCCAATTCAACCAAAAATAGGCCAATCTGTCTTATAGAATTCGTCGAATAATATTGAAGATGTAAAAATTTTATAAATAATTTTACGAAAAAAGTTACACAACAAAATGATTTAGAAATCTTCGATTAAATTAATTTTTTATTCACTTTTGGAGGTAAATTTCTGTTAATTTATTTTTAAATACATACATTAAAATTAATACTTATAAAAAAGTTTTTCTATATAGGAGATAACTAGGTGAATGCAAAAATGGGAGGGGACGGCAAAATTCATAATTACCACAGAATTTTTAAGAATACTTTGTAAGCCCCCCCCCCTCCACTCCTTTTCCTTTTCCCATGTTTCCTTGATAATTTTAAGCTTTCTTGCTTGATCTATATTTATTATAGATGATTCGAACGGGCTTTTCGAGCTTTCAAATATTACCTATTTTTAAAAAAATTGAGGCATTTTTTAATATTCTAGTGTTTTCAAAACAATGTTACATTCTTTACCTACAGAAACAAAACTTTATATATTTAAATGTCTCAGTTATGAAGAATTATGTTTAATCAAACAAACAAATTTATATTTTTATAATTTTATTAATAAATATAAAAAAGAACTTGCTCGGGAGAAATTTTATAAAATTTATATTGTAACGTTTTTTTAACTGATTTAAATCTTATACGTTCATTTAAGGATCATATCGATACGTTCAGGAGAACTCCTTATAAAATAATTAAACCCAAGGTTGAAAATTTTGATTTTCCATTGACTGAAAAACTCGAAGAGAAGGTAAAAAAATATTTAAACGCTAAAATTTCTTTTCTTTTTAGTGGAAAAATGGACTAGAAAACCCAATTCCCTTATATTTACCTGATCAAGATTCAAACACTGATATTGTTATTGCCTTGTCTAAAGGTTAATTTTTTCTGATAAAATTTTTATACAGCCGCTGGTAACTAACAGTGAAGGAAAATTGGTTTTAGCTTTGATTTTTATTTTTTAGAATTATTTTTAACTTAAATTATTTTCAGACCACGGCGCTAATAAACGTTTTCTACTTCAACTACCAACATTTATAATAAACATAAATGACTTCAAAATTGTCTATTATTATTTAAATAAATTATTTAATTGTTCTTTAGAAGACGGCGACTTAAGTCAATTTATATTCAATTTAAAACTGATTCAATTATTATTTGAAAATGTGAAAATACCCAAACGATTTTATATTCAAAAATGCTTACTATATATTAGTATATACAATAACAATATTGAAAATATTTTTCAATTTACTTTGGATCATGTAGCTAGTGAATTTTGTAAAATTTGCTTTTTCCTAGATAAAAATTCGGACATTATGGAAAAATATAGAGATAATTTATTTCAAATTTTAATAAACGGAGGAGACAATTTTGAAAAAATTAATTTGGATTTTTCTGATTCTGCAGAAAATTTGGATCTTGTTAAAAATATAGCTATACTTTATAATCGGATTATCGAAGTAATTCATTTACAGAAAAATTTAAAAATAAAAATTTTAGCATATAGCAACATCTGAAGATTGTTTAAAAGTGGTGCCAGTCATTGTTTTTAATTTTTATAATCCAGATAGTTTTGAACTTGTATTGAGTGAAAGGGCAGAAAATGTCGAAATTAAACAAGAACGATTATATGGACTATATGACACAAAATACACAAAATACCAAATTGCCAATATTCACAATCCAGAAGTTAAATTCTCATTTTGTAATGAAGAAAGTGAAGATTCTTGTTCTATTCACGGTAAAATAAAAATAAAAAAAAGTAGAATTTGAAGGATAAAGCGGTAATAGTGTCGTTTCCCAGCCCCCTTTTTTTCCTCCCAATTTTCTACCTTATGTTTGTACGGAATGGTCAAATTTTCCCCTTTCTTTCATCAAATTTGCCTTTCCCTATTTTGCCTAAAAACAATCAAAAAAGATTAATTTTTTATTCATTTCTTTCACAAGGATAAAAAAGTGAGACATGATGCCAAAAATTATAAAAAACATTTTCAATATTGCCAAATCGTTTTCGCCACATAAATTCCGGGAGATAACTTTTATAGGTTTCAGTGTTGTTGCCAGCTTGATGTCTGAATTTTCGCCATGCATCGAAATCATTATCACTCAAACGTAATTTTTCATATAAATCAATAGGTTTGAAATTCTTTAGTTCTTCCATTTTTATTAATTGGGAAAATGATTCTTCTCATTACTCAAAATATGGAAAGGCAAATTTGATGAAAGAAAGGGGAAAATTTGACCATTCCGTACAAACATAGGGTAGAAAATTGGGAGGAAAAAAAGGGGGCTGGGAAACGACACTATTACCGATAAAGCTTTTTGATTTATCAGATAAATAAATATTTTTAAAAATTTTGTTTTCATTATTTTCAAATTTAATTATTTCTATATAATTTATTCTTACCGTATTATATCTAGTAGAATGGCCGGCCATTCTATTTTTCAATCACCCTCTAGGGGGCCATTCTAATAGAGAGGGCCATTCAATTGGAGACGGCCATTCTATTTTTCAATGAAAAAATTTTGCGATTTGAAAAAATTTCGTCCTCGTTGGTTCATCTGCCACAAGCTTTGATTTTAGTTATTTATAGGAAAAATGTAAAATCAAATTTGAATTCGAAACTCGAACTTTGAAAATGAGAATAATTCGCCAAAAATTGTCAAATATTTTATTGAGATTAATAGATTCAAGCGAATAAGGAGGATTTTGTGAAACTAAGTGGGATATTTATTGATTTAGCATTATTGATACAATAGAAGTAGAGGGGGAATTAAGAGGGATCTCGATGATTTGTGAGATATCAATGATCTTCAAAATCCATCACAGGATTTAGAGGGGATTAAGAAGAGATGGAGGGGATATTGAAGGAATTTGGAGGATTGAGGAATTTGGACCTCAATTTCACTTCCGCCTTCTCTTTATCGACACAAATCCTCCGATATCTCTCCAAATCCACCTTAATCTTGTAAATCTACTGAGATCAATACTGATTTCCGGCACTACAAGTGAAATTTTGAAAAAAAATTTTATATTGGGAAAATTTTAGCATTAAAAGGGGGGGCCATTCTATTAGAAGGGGGCCATTCAAATGGAGACGGCCATTCTATTTTTCAATCA